CTCTAGTTGCTTCTTCAAATTTCACATTGGCCAACTTAGTTTTCTAAAGTTTTTTCTCTTTTCCCATTCCTCTCCAACACAAAGCCGAGCCTTCATTCACCAACTGCTCATGAACCACCCATTCTAAACTTTGCTTACCTAATTTTTTTTGCAGCATATTTCTTTGCCACAGGAGGTGGTTATGACAAATTAGAAGTCTACAAATGTTCTGATGGTGTAAAGGCTCCAGCTGTCACTAGGGAGCTGGTGATCAGGTTTCGGAGCGGCATGGTCTCTTGGCGCCACAAAGAGTTCCATATGGTCATCCAACTGGTGCACCTCGAATGTGCCTTCAGTCTCCTCCGGGAGCGTTCCAGACAACATCGTCAAAGCAACAACACTGTCGCAGAGCCGTGTCACCGTTTGAGTAATATTAGTGATTTAATTATTCAATGTGATGAATTCTCTTTTTCTAGGGCTTCTCGTTTGATTTGGACACATTTTTTTGACTTTGAGACACAAACGTACAGTCGTTTATGATCTACAACTTTTTATTGTTTGAGATTAGCTCCGTAAATGTGCCGTATTGATCGAATGGGATACTTTTGGATTAATAATAATAATGCATTTTTTCTTAGGAGGCTTTCTAGATACTCAAGGTTTTTAAAATGAATTGGACCTGGGATGAAAGAGAAATTAGCTTTAAACTAAAACTCAAATCTGACTTGGGACAGGTACCATAGCTACTGTACCAAGAAAGATGTTTCAACTGCCCTCGATCATAATGTCAAACTATAGGCTCTTTGAATTGTTGTGATGTCACATGAACATCACATTTTATTGAAAAATTCACAATACATTCTATTTCTTTTCAAGACACTCAAGGTTGCCATACATGACTAAACAGAAATAATGGCACCGGTCTCAAAAATGTTTATACTAATGTTAATACCCACAGATCAGGACGGATCTGAAATCACAACACTAACTTTCTATCGATAAATATGACACCTACTTCTGCCTTGACAAGTGATAAATTGAGGATTTACTGCGACATATTTATGAATACACTTCAAGGCCTTGTACTCGATAATGTTGCTGTCCTATAAACATTAAAGCCTAACTAGTTTATTCAGAATCCAGAGCCCAGAGTTATATTTATATATTTCTCCTATACCCTGCACCCACAGGACTCACTGTACAGCCAGTTATCTATAGTTTATAAGTGATTTTCACAACTTTTACATAGTGTTTATAGCTAGAGCTTGCTCAGAAGCAGTGAACTTTCTGTGTCTTTCAGAATAAAATGCTTTATAACTAGATCTACTGTTAAAGATTTGCATCATATATATTTGTCACAATAACCCATTTTGATGAAAAATGTATTGTTTCAGAAAAATATTGAATAAACAGTAATACCAAAACAATAATACATCAAAAATAATGTATGTGAGTCTCTGATCTGTGTTGGCAAGTCCTCTGAGATAACTAGTGTCGTGATTTAGGGCTATACAAGAATAATTGAATTGAATTGAATTTATTAAAAAGCATTCTGAAAATAAACAGCAGAATTAGAATTCTTATTGAACTATAAACATCTAAAAATGCATTGTTTTAAAACAAAGACACTTTCTCTAAACTTTTGCAAAATAAATCTACAGTGGAATGATATTGAGGCCCAAAATATATTTTTTATTCATTAGTTATAATCAAATCCACTTTATTTGTAAAGCACTTTTTATTAAAAGTTTCTAAATGTCTGCACATGAAAAATAATATTCACTCTTATGTCTGCCAAATACAATTTTAGAATAGTAGCAATCGATTGAAAAATATATAATTACAATAAAATAAAATAAGTCATTAGAGAAATGAATAATTTAGGTATCTACCTAAACAGAAGATTTAAAAACTGTAAAAATACATTCAAAAAAACAACTAAACTGACACAAGTCAAGTGGTGCAAAAGCCCGAGAATAAAAGTTTTTGATCAATAAGTCGATAAAATTATTATTGAGACAAGCCTTAATGAAATGTGTCTAGCATCCATAACCAAGTGCTTCTTTTATTCCTGTACTTTAGCTTTTTTTTTTTATGTACATGTTTGGGGCACACTGGGGAATTTTGCAAATGTATTTCAATGTGGTTTTACTGCAAATGGCAAATGAAAATAATCTGCATCACAGTGGAGCTACATACAACTGCAAAAAGTGACTACTGTAAGTCACTGCTCTGTTCCAAAACATTTCAAAAACATGTCACTGTTTCTCCCGTCGCAGAGAGCGAGGGATTGGTGATCTATAATTAACCGAAGCCTGTGCATTGATGTCATTGTCACAGCGTGGAGGTAGAAGGTGGCACTGCCAAGGCACCTGTTGTTGTGGAGCGTGGCATCTGATATCATTACCTACCCAGCCGGAGCGCCACGGTCCCCGCTGGGTGGCAAACTGTCCATCCTCCCAGACACACTATAGACACGCACACAGACGTAACACACAGGGCTGTCATCACGTCCTCTTTTTACATAACCCGCTCGGATGGCCCGGCACCTAGAGGGCACAGAGCGGCACCGGCTTACAATTACTGTTAATGGGGTTTTGATGGAAGCTGGTTAACTTTTCAGACCGTCAAAATGCTTCTATGCAAATATTTGATATGGGATCTGTGCTTAGGATCATTGGATTTGGAGCTTAAAGGCATTGCAACACAAGTATTCGCAGAAATATAGCATGTTCTCCCAAACAAGTCGGTACAAAAAGATTAGAATGTGTACTTTTCAATGGCTCTTCTGGTCACCCTAGAGAAGTCATGTTCCAGCTTCTTCCCTCTGGCATACAGGACATCTCGATATGCAAACAGCTTCTTTCCACAATCAGTCTAAAAAAAACACTGTATTGATTATTTCTTGTACTTTTTGGCTTGTTTTATTGTATGTATTTGTCTGGTGCACTCTGGGATACTTTTGCACATGTGATTTTTACTCTAAATTGAGTCTGGATCTGAATCTGAATAATTCATGTGTCCGAGTTCAAGATCTGCTCATCTTTCATCAAGTAAACTTCTGAGAATGTTCGCATCACGCCTTTGTTTTAAAGTGTTTGTTTTCTTGTTGGCCTTTGGCACACAACTCATAAAAACCACAGCTTATTTGAGGCTACCCAAAAATCATTTTACCCCCTGTCAACACATACCCCTGGTGGAAATGAATTTACCGCCATTAATTGCTCATTTTCTGCTGTTCTATTTGCAAGCCGAAATTAGACAAGTCGAGTTTAATGGGAGATGCCAATTTATGTATGCACACATTCAAAGTACTTTACAGAACAAACAGCACTGTCAGAAAACAAAAATTCTGGAAAAGATATGTACGCAACCATGTGTCTTTAAATGTACAATTGCTTAAATATATTGTAAGCACACAGCAAACGCGATGAACTGGGTCAAGAGGGCATGCCCCTTTCCACACACCTCATCACTGGGCTGGTGAGGGTGGTAAGGGCAAAGATGAAGCTTCTTTTTCTAAAAATTGGATGTATTGTTTTAAATACAATACAAACACATGACCAAAGTCGCTCAACAAATATTGTACTTTTGAAAACTCTATGAAAAAAGATCAACGTTAGTCAAGGGATCACAAGTACTTTCATGAAAAGGGAAATGCTGTATTTGAAGCTGAAGACTTGTTTCCTGAGACAATGTGACTGTTCCGTGTTTTCGCTGCTGCAGTTTTCCCAGAGTCCCTCAGCCCTCACCTTTACAGGGATCTCACAGCCCAAAGCCTTTCCAGCCTTTTGCTCTTCACACGTTACCGAGAGGGAGGCAACACAGAATCTGCAGATACGGTGAAAGGATGTTAATTTGTAAAGATGTGGTATATTTTACAGAGTCCATAGTGCGTGTTGTTAATTTTTTTGTAACATTTTGACACACTTTCCCGAGAAACTCTGCCACTCTGTCATTTACAAACTGTTCAGTAATTAGCAACATGTCAGCAACAAACTCACATTCAAAACTTTAAATGAATCATTACACCGCGCTAATGCATTAACAAATTAACAGCCATATTTACAAAAGACATTGATGTGAGGCATAATTTTAAATTTCAATAACTACAAGCCCTGGGCAAGCCAAGCCCATAATGTAATGTGCCTTTTGTATGAATAAGTAGCTCCCCAGATGCAATAAAGACACAGCAGTGCTCTGCATTATTGATTCAGTTTCATAACAACCAAGAGTGTCTTTAGTCACTGCAATTGGCAAAGAAGGAATCCCACACATTATTTAAAAATCATTGCTGCAATTTGTGAAGTTGGAGCTTTGCTTTTTTGACTTTAAAGAGCCAACAGAGATTGGATTTTTAAATGAACACATTGTACAATATGGAGTACTTATCACTCATTTTCCAATTATGCATCAGTAGATATATTACACATTTCATAAAACGTGCACATTGATTTAGTCAGGCTGTTAATGTTCATTGGTTCTCAATGAGGAAAAACGGTTGTCAGACTTTGAATTGCTCAAGAACCAAACATTGGTGAGAAGATGTCATAATGCTCAAAAAGAACAAATTGACCTTTCAATGCTTGACTGAAAAAAGGTATTTAGAAGCTATTTGTGAGAAATACATCACACAGACAACACGCTACACGTAAATAATGTGAATAAAGATTGTTGTGTTTTTGTTATATTCTCATACGACCCAGTCCAAGGTCTCTGTCAGCTCGGCACAGTAGATGGATGCAGGAAAAGTCCACTTTGGCAAACTCAGTGAGAGTGCTGTTCTGTTCTCCCGTGGCCATTATGTGTGCAGCCATAGAGATGTTTCTTCTGGGATCTGCTCGCCTTTTCATTAACGTCCTCCGGGAGCACTTGTGATTGGCCGACAAGCTTGAGGGATCCGAGTGAATTTTCCTTCAATAATGGAAATGGGCCGCACCTCTGGGGCCGAGAGACAGTAGACTGACAGGAAATATCTTAATCTTCTCTGACACTGTACTGGCGCGCTCCCGTCCGCACCGTCAGCCCGCGCATACCTCCATACATCTGGAGTGTGTTGTGGTGACCAAGGGGCCCCCGGGTGAAAGGCAGACCCAGCGGTGGTGCGTGGGTAAGAGCCAGGGTCCAGTGCACCGTGGCGGGGGCTCTCCATCACTCTGCCTCCTGGCTCCTGACAGGCCCTGGCTCTGGGGCCCGTCAAGGTGCTTGCTGAGCGTGCTCCAACGGTGCACTGCTGAGGAAGGGATTCTGTATCCTTCTAATGGATTACTCACCCACATCACCTGTCCGATCGGATTGGCTTGACCGACAGACATGCGGCCTTTGGACTCAGGAACATTTACTGTAGTGCTATGAGGTTAAACTAAGCCAGGAGAAACGTGACAAAAGTACACGCTCCTTGAGGAGTTATCTGTATTAAAATGTATTTGGGTTATTTGCAGGCGATAGTTCTACAGCGAAAAACAGATCTATAACAACTTCAAACAAATAAAGTGGATCAAAATGGGTAAACTAGACCAGGAGATACATTACAAATGTGCAGTGGCGGCTAATTAAAAAATATTAGTGATGGGCAAACAATACACACGAAAAGGATCATTTTAACTTGATTCGACCGAACAAGGTGTTGTCTCATAAAAAATAATAAATAATTCTAAAGCTGACAAACAAGAAGTGACTGAAACAGACAACTGTTAAAAAACGTTTTTGAACAAAAATCTGTGTTCTCTGCATACAGTTTGTTTGTTTCTGTAAATTGTTTATAGATGTAAACAAACGTTTATTCTATTTAAGGATTCCTTAGAAATAGATTAACAACTGTAATATACCAATGTTCTGCTGCAGTAGAATAGCTCTCTGTTATAGTTATTAAAGTTAAATTAAGTTCCTTCAAACTAGCTAGTGCCGAATCCGCCATTGTTTACAAAGCAGCAATGCCCAACGCTGTGATTGGAAGATTTTAAACTCTGGCTGCATAAATTAAGCCCATTTTTAAACCAAAATTTCAAGCAGTGGAAGGGGGGCAGGACTTACAGCTGTCAATCAACCTTACAGAGATGAATGTGGCGTGGTAGGATGACTCGAAGAAGAGACTCATCTTCTCCGAGATGGGCTAATTTAATCTAAAGAGAAAATAGCCCCTCTCATTGTTTAACTGATTTTTAAGCAGATTTTTTTTTTTTCACTAAAAGGATGAATTTCAAATGTAAACATATATAATGGCCATATAGCCAAATGTTTTAAAGAAAATAAATAAATACAAAGTCAATCAATGACACTTTTTCCAGCAAAATAACAGGAAGGGTTTAGTCCACCTAGCCCATTGATACAGCTGTCCCTGCAAAAGTGCATGCTCATTGAGGACTTATGTGTATTCTAATAATGTAATTGGGTAATAAGTGGGTAAATGTTTGCCTGAAAACTGGTCCAAGCAAATTAAGTGTCAAAAAAGTGAAAAAAGAGAGAAGAAGAGTGAAGCAGCGATTTATGCACAATTGAGCTGGAGGTTTTATTTTCAGACTGCAAGCTTATCCTAATGTACGTAATAACAAAGATGCCAATTCTTGAGATATTAAAACTGGTCCAAACAATAAATCCAACTGCCAACACTTAACTGTTCTTCTTATTTTTAGTTTAATTAACCTGTTCCTGTGTAAAGTGTCTTTGGGTGTCCAAAAGGCCCTATAAGTTCAATGTATTAATACTGTATTGTTAACTGCTGAAGTGCTAAGTAGGGCTGCAGTCGACCAAAGAAATTCTTGATTGAAAAAACAAAAGGGGGTGTGGCCAATGCTCTAAATACCTGTATTTTGTAAACTGTACCTGCAAAAAATAAGGTTGAATTGAGAGCTTGATCTGGCTTGGAGGATTTCTAATGCCGCTATGTGGGTGGGGATATGTGGGAAGCAGGTCAAAAACCATACTACTCAAACGTACGCACAACAAGTATCAATCAAAATACAACTTTGAGTAGCAAAATAATGAGGGATAATAAAAGATTGGAAAAGCAGGAGATGCAGCACACTGTGGTCTGAGTTGCATTCAAAGAGAACAAAAATCTCCTGGATGCTGGAGAGAAAAACAATATTTAACAACGCGTACAGCCTTCTTTGCTCAGGTGCACAATATAACAAGGGAGGATTCAAACATTTTTTGGATTAACTTTTTCTGCGTCCACTCAGAACAGCTCTTGTAAGACTCATTGTGGATTTTTCTCTTTGCAGCACAAAAATATAAAGGTGCACACAGCCCACCAGCCCTGCCTTATTTGGAGCTGAATAAAAGGGCACTTGCGAGGCCCAGTCATTTAGTCTTAATTCGGACAGAGCGCTCGGTGTCGTGCTGGTGGACGCCTGCAGGTCCGGCTCAGGGCAGCTGTCCTAATAAGCCTCATACATATTTGTCTGTGGCGCTGACCTATGGGCCCTGTTGTAATAAAGGTCATTGAGTGAGAGATACTCTGTCCCCTCCGGTCCTGCCTAATGGGGAGCCAATGCAGCTTTTATAACAGAGCTCTTCTGGGATTGAGCTGCAGAACAAGGATATACACCAGGGATATTGTTAAAGCTGGATTATTCCGATAATTGCTCTAAGTAGTCGAGCATTCTAATGGGAGAAAGCCATGCTGCTTGTGCCATATATGTTAGGTATATTGTACTAATTGTGCCACGTTATTACATCTGGAGCTGCATAGAGGGTAGAAAAACAAGACTGATTTGAGTCTGACATGGTCTACAGCAGGGGTGCCCACACTTTATCAAAGCAAGATCTACTTTTACAGCAACCATTGAGCCGTGATCTACCTCAGATGTATGTTCAGGTGTTATGATTCAAAACATCCCTATTTGGTTCGATTTATGATGGAGGTTTGATTATTGTCTTTATTCATAAGTATAGGGTTCAATTATTAGTTTTGTGGCACACTGTCCTCAGACACGTACATGTTTTGTGGTAACTCTGATATGTCGTGCAGGTCACCTCTCCTGCCATCGCAATCTATTGATTGCGATGCATTATTATGCATCAGTATTATTTAGCACTTTTATCGACACTTGAACATCGCCGTGGTGATAAACTACTACTGGAGCCACAGCTGCCTTTCAACCACCGCCAGTCATTCTCCCGTCAACTCCCCGTTTGTATGTATTTTGTTTTTTGGTATCAGAACCCAGAATAAATGTAATGCCTAGTTTGGAAATGTAAACACCAACACTTCAACAGCATGGTGAACCTTATTGTGATGTTTATATCTTGTATTAAAAGCATAACATGAAGAATTCTTTAGTGTACACGTAACTGTTAAAACACAGAACAGTGAGTGGGGATAGGAGGAAAGTGAAACAGCACCATGCATACAGACTGATTCAAATATGCATGTACAAGAGAAATACAAATTTGGGAAAGAAATCAGAAAGGATGTAGAGACTGTTTCCTGTAGTGCACGGCTCTGTCATGTTTTCTTTGCTCTCCGTTCAGCAGCAGCAGCAGAAGCAGGAGATGATCTGCTGTAACTGGACTGACCAGAACTGCACTATCCAAATATTTACCCAAAGTGAATGGGGTGGATTCTGCGATTGGAGAACACAGCATCAAGCAGTTCAAATGTCCGCGTGTTGCTGCAGAATCATGTAACTGAATTTACTAATCAGTCCTGTAATAATAATAATAATAATAATGATGATGATTGTACATCACACTCAGAGCCGTGTTCTTTTAAAACAAAAGTATTGACCATAAATAAGTTTTGGTCATCAGATGTAATGACGTTCTTTATAATCACATGGCTGTTTGCAGAAAGCCATTTTCAAATTTGACAAAAAAAACGATCCCAACTCTTCCCTCTGGTGGTAGCAAAAGGAGTTACAGGCAGAATGCATTTTTTCACCATTCAAACTTGTTTACCAATGTTTTCTACTTAAGATATCATTTTGCATTCTAGAGCAGTATATGACAGAAAAAGGAGTCTCATTGTCCTGGTTAATGACCCAAAATAATTCACAATATGTCTTCTTTAAATGCAAAGCAAACAATATTGTACCATTTTCTTGTCAAATCAATCAGTCCAATTTGGCCCGGGTCAAAACTCCCACAGTATTAGAAAGCACATTTTCATGCTCAAGGTTAAGCCGGGTGTGCCCTGTGGCTCTCAGACAGACACTGTTCATCATGTGGGGAAAAAGGTGCACTTCTATTGTGCTAAATAAGAGGCAGAGGTCAGCGATCGATCGGCCCCAGAAACAGACCTGAGGGGCGGCTTCAACAGGGCTATTGTAGCGTGTCAATGATCCCTTTATGGCCATGGACTTGACAACCAATCTCCTATTAATCAAGGTTAAACTAGCCCCTAATAGCAAATCAATGGAGATCAATAGATATTATCATGTTATTATGACTCTCCTGAGTAAACCATCTTTCACGGCGGCTAAGTACGGCTTTGGCAGGAGTCGCTTTGAGATTCACCGCTATTCTCTGCGCTGCCTTTAAGTCAGCACAAAATGGCAAGGTCTTCCATTAGTTCAAGTGTGCTTTTTTTCGATTCCCGGCAAACATTGTGCATTGTGGAAGTTATATTGAGATAACCTTTACACAAGAGCAGATATTTCACCCACGTTAAGATCAGCCCTGAGTGCAGCCCACTTGTTTCTCTGCCCCGCATCACTCACCACCGTCCTTTTCGTGCAACTAAATGGGGCGCGGGGACGTATCCATCTCATTGTAACCTTTGCAGTACTCATATTTATGATAAAGACCATTAGGCATTTGTGAGTTGCTTGCGCTTGTATTTTAGCCACGACTCTGTGTGCTGTCATAGGAGCGTGATTGAAAAGTCATTACCGCTGGAAAGGTTGTAAGTTGTGGCTATAACCCTTTATATCTGAGCTCAAAGGCTAACGGGGACAGCATATATCTCTTTCTTTACACTTGTTCGTGTTTTATCTGCCGGCTTTTCATGGTAGTTTCTCGACTACGCGCCTGGCAGGGGGCTTGCCGGCTTCCTTTTATTCCCCCTCGCCGCCTTGAAGGACAGACCATACACACGAGATAAGGGCAGACAGGTACGGCGCGTTCCACAACCCTCTGAGCGCGCATTCTAATTATAAACGGTGCCACGGTTTGAATATTTGGAAGCTTTTGCATTCTCACGCCATATTAATAGTCAGCTTATTTTATTCTTGAAAGCACGGCGCTAAACATGCAGATATGTAAACTCCAAAATTTCAAAGTGTCCCGTCAATTGCACAAGCCCAGCAGGACGCGCACTTTTTTTTTCTCCATTTTTCACTTTGCATATTCATATGATTACTCTTCCAAACAT